AATTTGTAGGTAACATTTTTTTCTTGTAAGAAGAAAGTGCAGACATCTGACCAAAACATGGCTCTGTTCACATACAGCATGCCAGCTTATGGTTAACAGAACCATAATTTACTAACTTAACTAGGTAGGGTGAGTTTGCACACCATCTTGTGTTACCCATAGCTGTGCACACAGTCCACTGAGCTAGCAATAAGGGCATAGGCCAGGAGTGTCAAACTTAAGGCCCAGGGGCCAGATCCGGCCCACGGGGTGCTTAGATCTGGCCCACAGAGCCCACCTGGAAATAGCAAAGGACCAGCCTGCGGTGGCTCTGCCAGTGAAAATGGAGCTTGGGAGGGCCATGCATGGCCCCCCGAGCTCCCATTTTCACTGGCAGAGGGTTGTAGGAGGCTGTTGCAGCTGAAAACGGAGCTTGGGAGCTTGACACCCCTGGCATAGGCAGTCCCCAAATCTAACCAAGTCTTCTTTCCATTCTGTGCCCCACTTTAGAAACTGCAACAGGCATTAGTACAAACTATAAGGCTTCTGTTCAATGGCTTGGGTTTAATAAACAGGTAGCCCTCCACTTATAACCATTTGTTTAGCAACCGTTCAAAGTTACAACAGCACAGAAAAAGTGATTTACAACCAGTACTCACATTTATGACCATTGCAAACAACCCTGTGGTCATGTGGTCTTTGGACATTGACATTGAGTCTTTATTGATTAGCCCTTGGGACATATCAAAGTGCAAAGTTCCAGAAACAAATTATTACTACAATCTGATAAAAGCAATATAAAATGGAATTTGATAAAATACACTTTAAAATGGAATTGGAATAAAATAGAGTCTAAAATGAAATTGGAATAGAATACAATAATTTAAGATATAGATAAAATATGAAAAAATCATATTTTGGTGTCACCCCTGCAATCTACCCCAATCAGTCCCACATATGCAGATCTCAACCGAACCATTTTGTTTTAAGTACTGTGCTGTGTTAAATGTTATTTTTCGGTTCTGGCCGCATGTAAGGTAAGTTGTTTTAATATGGGGATCCCAATGGGTCATTCGTTTGGTATATGGACCAATGTACCTGTCTTTTACCACCTTATACAAGCAACAATCAAATGGGATGTGAGCCAGGTCTTCTACCTCTGCCGCTCGGCAAATGCAGAAACACTCATTGTAGGGTATAGAATTGAATCTCCCATATCTGACCATTGTGTCAAGCTGTTCGAATCTCGCTCGCGTAAATATCTCCTTAAGATGTTTTGGCAGTTGTAACTTCAAATAGCTGTCTACTTGAAAAGTATGTTTGTATTTACTCAGCCATTTCAAGTTACCCACCTTACTAAGGATAGCTATATCATTTTGTTCTATATCCTTAATTCTTTGGACAGCTCTTTTTTTGACTTGTTCTCCTGTTACGCAAGAGACAGGAAGGCCACAGCTTCTTACAACATTTGTTAGTTTGGTGATCCAGGAGATTTGTGATTTTATTTGCTCTAGTAGACATAACTTGGGGAGTCTATCAGTCTCCATTTCATTGACTTTGCACCAGTAGTTATATGCTCTAATTTTNTTGCCTAGAAGCCTCATCAATGTCCGCTCACTCAGAGGTAAGCTTTGCTGGTTGCGGCCTAGCATGCTCCCCACCAATCCTCAGGCTTGTGTAGTTTGCGCAGCCGCCTGGGATCAGTTGCAGCCTAGTGTGCTGCCCCCCTGCACCCCTCCAGGCCCCTGGGCTCATGTGCCTGGCCAAGCTGCCTAGCTATCTACCAACTTTCTCCCCAGCCTCCATCTTGCTTATCTTCGCTCTTCGGACCGAATCCCAAGCCACTAGTCGCAGAACGCCTGCCTTGCTGTTCGCCTGCTACTTCTGAAATCCCATGGCTGCAGCCTGCATCCATCTCATTGGCTAGCAACTGAATATGCCTGTCTGTCTCCCTTGTGCCTTCAATTGTGTAAGTAAGTGTGAAAAATGTTACTTGGCTTTTTTTAGGATTTTTTTTTAGGAAATAGCCATTTAAAATTTATAAAGTTTTACCTGTTTTTATATTTTTAGATTTATGCAGCTTTCTGAGATTTTGTGTTTCTGTAGTGTTTATTAGAAGTAAAAAGAAAACATGCCACAATGCTGAAATAGCTTCTAAAGTTAATTATGATTCATTTGACACATGGAAGATTACTGAGATCCAAGTTCAAATGTACATTCAATCATGAAATACACTTGTTTACTTGGGTCCATTACAAATTCTTCATACTGCAATTATTGGGTAGAATCTCGGTAATTCAGATGTTTTACCAAACATGCTATTTCTCTTTCACACTTAAAATGTTATAACTGAAAGTCAATTTAAACAATGGCAGATGGACATCTCTAAGTTTATATGGCAAGGGGAAGAAACAAAAAAATTAAACATGAATTATTGCAAGGTGCTAAGGAAAGAGATTTGAGTTGACTAGATTTGAAATTGTACTTTGATGCTGCTTGTTTTCTGGCCAAAAGAGTGAATCCCCAAAATAAGAGCTTTCTTGAGCTTGACAGGCATGAATAAAGATTTTGATTCCAAAGCTCTTTATGGTATGATAAGATTAAAGCAAATGTTGATATTAATCACCACTTGAGAGACATCCCTTCCTCTTTGGGTGTCAGTGCCAACTTACACAATTGTTCTTATTTTTCTGAACTAAAATCCTAAGAAAAAATGTTATTAATAATAATGAAACAAAGATAATTCTTCCCTCGCAGATCAGAGACAGCTATTGTGGTGATTTGTGACAAATAAGAAGCCGTTCTAAACTTTATACAAGTTAAATGCAATAGTAGTTTGTTAACAAAGTGATTTCATGTTCAAATTTTTTGTTGCTTCCCCTATTACATTGCATTTCTATATTGTAGATAGCAGTGACGTGCGGTGAGGTTTATGGCTGTGAGGTACTGATACAGTGGTGGGTTTCAAATGTTTTTAGACTTGTGGACTCCAACTCCCAGAATTCGACAGCCAGGCATGCTCAATTCCGATGTAAAGCGACAGCATTTGTTTTTCTCCTTTGCGAAACAAGTTCCCTTCTTTTTCTTCTCCCTTCCCCTCCTTCCTCCCTCTCCCTCCCTCCCCCCTCTCTCAAACACACACACACACACACACAGTTGGATTGGAGGGAGAGCACCAGAGAGGAGACCACAGGAGGCAGGAAGCCAGTCAGAGCCATACTGGAGCACACATACTTTCCCCCAGCCCCGGAAGGATCCAGCCCAGCTTCATTGATTACAGGTTTGAAAAGGCAACGTGGCTCTGCCTGCAATCAAACTACATTTGGGGAGGGAGAACACAAGCGAGCCAGGGTCCTCCAGCCTTTGCCCAAAGCCCCGCACCAGGAGGATGAAGTTTGAATTCCTCCCCCTCACTCCAACCCACACGTACCTTTTGCAGCTGTTTCAGAGAGGATTTCAACTCTGCTCTTGCCTCGGGTCCTCTGAAGAAGCCCCGCCCAAACGAGCGTCCTCTACTATGAGGCAGGAGAACGGTGTGCCTCACCTACATCAGTAATTTTTAGGCTTTTAGCCCTTGCTTAACTCTGCTCGAGTAATCATAAAATGCCTAAAGTCAGACTAGATGAGGCAGACCGTTCTCCTGCCTCACAATAGAGGGCGCTTTTTTAGGGGCTTTTTTAAACATTTAAGCAGAGTCATCCACGGTGAGGCAGCAACTAGCTCAGCCTGACCTCAGCTCTTGCCTTTTTCCTTTTTTTTTTCTTTTCATGAAGGGAGTGGTGCGGCTGTGCCTCCCCTGACTGCACGTCACTGGTAGATAGATACATGTTGAATTGTTTGTAAACAGAAGTCGAAGTTTATAAATTTTGGGTCTGCTTCAGAAGGGGAGGAAACTAATATTGCTCCAATATATTTATGACTATTTTATTGGCGGGGGGGGGGGAATGTAGGCGAATCTGCTTTTGTCTTTTTAGCGCACATTTTTCTTTTAAAATGTTTTGTCTATCCCTGTTTTGTTTTTGAAAAAAAATCTTTCTTTTTTGGGGAGTTTGTACTTTATATTAATTTTCTGAATAGAATTTTTTTTTTCTAAAAAAAAGTCCCCTTACCAGAAGCAAATCCATGAGGCTCCTCTGTACCTACCATATTTTTTGGAGTATAAGATGGTCAAGAGTATAAGACATAACCTTAGTTTTTGGGGAGGAAAATGAGAAGGAAAAAAAATCTGCTTCTGTCTATCAGCATCCATGTATTTAGCTGGCTAGCTTCCTGTCAGTGTGTGAGTTCATGACTTGGAACACATGGTAACAAGGTCAGCCAATTAATAGGCATAGCAACTAAGTCAGCCAATGACTGTTATTTGGAGTCTGAAACAGTATTTGCCTGGCTTAGCTGAGAACTGAAAGTGAAACTGCTTGTGTTTTGCTTGTATTTACTGCTACCTTGGAAACTTGCTTTTGGTATTGTATTGT